GAGTTATCCACTAAGGGAAGGAGCAATTGCTAAAGCATGAATTCTAGACGAATGGCTGTGAGTTCAATCGCAAAGGAGCCTCGGCATGAAAATGGCTCTTTATGAATGGTGCGTTGAATTAGACAGGACCAGACAAAGCTGATGCGGTCACATGCAATATCGCTGGAAAATGAAGCTCAACCAGCAGTGCAACTGATGTCAAGAAAGCCAAATCATTGTCAGAATCTATTCTTCTGAATGATGACTTAAAAGTTCGATGGAAGTGTAAATAATGTTTAGAGCCGCTTTTCAGAGGAATAAGTTCCTCAAAAACTTTAACATTTTTATCTAACTTTGCAGTCAAATTCACATCTGCGATAGAAATAATTTGCATTTTGTCGTTATGTAATCGTTGAGAAACATTTCGAAAGTTATTTTCAAGGAGACACCTTGCATTTACAAAATTAAAGAGGATAGAAAGCTAAAGATCATTAAGTTATGGTAAAGGTAAAGACTTATTGCTTGGAAATTTTCAATTCACAATTATTCTTAAATACTACAAGACCTTCTTAAACGTACCCCGAGGAAAATATTTCGTGAAGAATCGAAACCGGCGGCAAAAACTCTGGCTGTATACGCTGGACTGCGATCAATCAAAAGCCGACACGCGTATCTGCTGATAGTGCTCGGGGGCAGCTTTTCTTGAGGACCAAAACTATTATTCACAAACGAACGGCCTAGCCACGTGTCGACCACCATAAAGTCGATCTGCTGCTCAGATGAACGGCCAATCTGTAAAAAATGCTGTATTAAAAATGAATACAGTGCTCTGAGTAAGGTACCACTTCATGACTTACATAAACAGTAACCAAATTAAGATAGTTCAAAAATGGCTGCAAAAATTCATTTTTTCATAGATTCAGAGATCTAGCAAAAAATGCGATCAATGAACATCAGTCATCATATTATAGAAACTATGATTTGTGCAACCTCGCTTATTCCGATTCTTTGGTATAGCATTAATTCTGCTAAAACCCATATTTACCGTCAAAACGACCTCCAGCAACGTCACATCATCCTAAGAACTATTTTGGAAATGCGTCAAAATAAAAGGATGGCGCTAAGTTGAGGCCTTAACAGCGATAGCACTGGTATCCTCCAAAACTGTGTTCTGTTCCTTCTGCGGCTTGTGCTGTACATGGATAGTCAAGCGAAGCTAGGACAAGAGAGTGTCAGAGTAGGAGATG